TCTAGAATAGTATATCTTTATGGAAGAAAATTTAGCAAATAATCTATTAAAGAATAATTTAATATTTTAATTATTTTCTTAATTTTTTGCGACTTCTTGTACTGGCCTAAAATACATTTTATTAAATAATAAAGGATTATTTAAAACATTTCAAATAATAATAATATCAGAGATAGATAAATAATATGCTTTTCTAATATTTTTAGACGTGGATAGTATTTTTTACTAGAGATGTGAATTTAGTAAGATTTAATTGAAATCAATGGTAACTTTTGCCTGTATTTCCTAAATCATCAACAATTTGATATAACATTCTCATTTTAAAATTGTAGATGATGAATTATATCTACTAGCTTGTCATAAGTTTAAATAGCTAATAAGAACTAATATAAATTAAATTATTATTTTAAAATCACTAAAAATGCTTAACATACATATATTGTATTTTTGCATTTAATAAAAAAATAGAACTTCAGTGATATTATTAAAACAGAATATATAATCTGAATTTATTAATTGTAGTATTTGATTATAACTAAAAGTTTCATTAACAATTATTTTGTTATTTATTTTCTCTTTACTTTCTATTTCTTCATTAGAATCTTCTTCACTTATTATTTCTTCATATATTACTACTTTGTCATATGATTCCTCTTTTTCATGTAATTTTTCTCTATTTATTTCTTCATCACTTATATTTTCTTTATTACAAATATTTATTTTATTAATATAATTATTACTAATTTCATCTATGTTATTATTTCTATAATTTAAATATTACTAGAAAAGAATTAATATGTATTATAAAGATAATTGTCAATATCTATAATACTATTCATTTCAATATTCAATGATAGTTGCAAAAAAGTTTTAAAGGTCTTATATCATTGCCTAATATAATTTTATTCTTTATTAAAGGGAACATAATGAAACATTTTGTTAAAGATAAACAGGATGATATTAAAATGAAAATAAAAATAACGATTTTGTTTATTAATTTAGTTGTGATATAAGTAAAAATAAATTAAATTTATTAAAGATGAAGGTTTAAATATTTTTATTAAATAAATAAAGTTGAATAATACAATATTTTTAAAAAAAAAGTAAAAAAAAATTTATTTTATTGTTAAATTAGTCTTTTTATTTTTTTATTTATTTATATAAAATTTATGTTTATAATATTTTTAATTAGGCAATACAAACTTATATAATTGGTTTTCATATCTGAAGTTAGAACTATATAATCTGGCTACCCAGATTTTTATTTTTAAAAAAAAAAATTTTTAAATTTTATTTAATATTTTATTGTTTCACAATCTAAATACCCAGTCAAAAACTTCATATTAAATATGTACTGTGTATTAATATAATAAACTATTATTTTATTTAACATATTTATAAAGAACATTTTCAAAAAATTTTATCATTTTCAATGTGAAAAATTATTTACTAAATTGGCCGATTAATATGTATATTTTATTTTTTATATAATCACTTACTTATAAATCAAATTTATAAAATAACATTAGTCATGCTTTTTTCTTTCCTAACCACACTCCTGAACATCTTCCCTTTTCTAACTGTGTCCTTAAATAACTTTCTTTTATGACTGTATCCCTAAAGCAACTTACCTATAAAGAGCAAAATTAAAAATCTATAAAGTAATATTGATTAGCTAAGCAAAAGACAACTACATCCTGAACGACTTCCTTTTATGACTGCGTCTCGAATAAAATTAAAACGTGTAGTAAACTTTGATCACATAATTTGCAAATATAAACTAATAAAGAGAAAGAAAAAAACGTGTCAAAATAACCTTTCCTTCGAACTCTTTAACAAACCTCTTCAAAAATACCATTTGTAAGTATACGTATCTCTAAAGAATCAAAATTTCTTCATAAATGGTATATTTATCCTATTTCTTATGAAATGACGATAGAAGATTTTTTATAAAACTTATAACTAAAGAACTATCTCCTGAATGTAATATTAATATTTTAAGTTCTGAAGTAATAGAACGTATTGAGATAAGCGAAACACTAACTGCAGTTATAATCCAAGTCAGCCCTATTTGTAATATCATAGAACTTACAACAAGTATAGGAATATGTATACAATATTAGCTCAAAACTGATAACAATGTAATTCTTAATTCAGTAACACAGAAAAATGGTCTTATAGTCCTGATGCAAAATGCATATCAAAACAAGCAACATCTACCAATTTTTTCACAATCAAGTAGATCAAATCATAAACAAAAATTACGCAGCGATCTTATTATTGAATTCACTATCATGATGAAGGATAGTCCACTCAATCGTATGCTAATATGCAAGGGAAGTAATTTGTCAATAATTTGACTAAAATGATCTGATATATTGACATGCGTGATCACCAGAAATTTGAAAAGCATAATTATCACATACCTGAACTCTTTCTTAAATTTTTTAATCATGCAGATTCAGAATCGTATAAGGAAGTATAAAAACCTTTGATGCTAATGAACTAAATTTATTGTCAAGTTTCTACTACATACGCTATATCATCATGGATGTTAATGGCAAATTTTAATTGGCTCTGTGATCTATTTGACAATTTTATTGTTACTGTTTCGAATTATGTTAGATTTCTGTGACATTAACGTGATATTACTGCTATAAATCATGCATTGGAAACTCTTATACATTCTATTAATCAGACTACAACAATCAAAATCTATAAGCGAAATATTTGGATTACAACTATTGACAAGACCAAATATCATAATCTTAAACAATTGCTCATCAATTTACTAATGTGAAAAGTGGTCAATATTGAAGAGTATTTACCAATTGATCCTATTGTCAGCGTTAAAAATTTGCTCTAGAAAAAAGATTTACAAAATCATTAGATTTAATTTTATGTAGATCATATTAAAGAAGATTTTGATTGACGTATTGCATTGGAAAATCAGACTAATTTATTTAATTTGAAGGATTTACAAAATTCACCTGATTCGTCTATTTCTTCTGTATTTTCTATACAGTCTGTTTATTCTGTTTACTCTGTTTCACCTGTAATTTCTTTAACGTCTGTAATTTATTTTATTTCTTTTTATTATTTTTATTTGTTATATTATTTTTATTATTTTATTATATTTAAGTATATTTTATTGAAACATATATCTATATTTAATTAATTTATAGCATAGTAAGTAGTTAGCCATAACAAATTTATTTTGTATAAATAAAATAGCTTTTTGCTTAAGTTGTAAATTAATTCAGTTGTAAGTTTATAAACTCATTTATAAGTTACTTACGAGTTTCAAGTTATAAATAAAGGAATCAATTTAAATCCATACAAACTACTTTTCCTTTAATGTTGTCCCTTATCTAAGATTGTTGTGATATACTATACTAACTTGTTATTAAGTTCATCATTACGAGTTCGATTAAATATATCTTAAATTCTAAGACGTGATAAATTGCTGAGTTGATTCAAATATAATGGATACCTGTAGGACTTAGAGAAAATCCTAAGGTCAGAAACTTCAACATGTAGAATCAGCTGCCGCAGCATTTCAACTTAGATATTAAGTTAAACAAAAATGAACCTAGTGATAAATTTGGTGATTCCTGCCAGGAGATAAAACTATTGAGAAAAGTAAAAAGAAGCTTAAGAGAGGAGATAGAGAAAATGAAGTGTTGAATTAAGGTTATATAAAGATTACACAAAGGCTTAATGGATAGTACCCATCATCCTCGACCTCATGAAAGCTTATGTAACATTTTGGTTATATAAAGCTCACTGAAGATCGCCTAACCAAATGCTAAATCTCAATTGGATAAAAGAAATAATGGATACAAATTTAAAATCAAAGTTACGAACGTCATTATTTTGACTTTTACGAATCAGAATTTTATGAAATTTAGACCATTAGAACCATTAAATTTCAAGGATCACAACGATATATATTTTATTTAAATTGAACTACTGGATGGCAAGATAATTGAAGAAACGTTATTTTATTTTATATTTTATAGTATTTTTATTAGACTTTTATGAATTAATGGACGCTATTTTAGTTTTAGTTTTTGAATAATTTTGGAAAAAGGTTTCCACTAAGCCTAAGCAAAAGTGAGAGTTTTGGGTTTTTCACTCATCTCGTAGAAAAATGAGTAAGATTAAAGAAAAGTTTTAAATAGCAAATGATTGCAAATGTCAAATACCGGTAGGAGGAAAAATGCCCTAAGGTTTTAAAGTTTGAGGAGTAGAATCATTGTACTAATGAATTGGAAAAGGTTTATCACTTAGCCTGTTAATAATATGAAAGTATTAGGATATCTCAGATGGTAAGATATTCCACTAAAGGATTCCAGAAAAAAATAGATTATGATTTTATAGATTTATCAATAATTTTGGATTTTAGAGAATTTATTTAAAGAAAAAAAAAATTTAATCACGTGAAGTGATAACATTTGATGACAAATTATAATGAAGATATAAAGAAAAATTTTATTAAATTAATAATGATCACGTAATATCAGAAAAGGATTATAAGAGTGAAAGCGAAAGTGTCAACAGTATGATTGGTAGCTCTTGAAATAATATTAGACAATTTAAAAAATAAAATGCAACAATGTGCAAAATTTTATTGAATAATCTGAAAAATATAAATTTAAGATACATGAAAATCAGAAATATGAAAAAGATACAACAAGAGAAGACTATTCTAAAAGATATATCAAGAGAAAGAAAAAAATAAAATAAAATAAAATAAAAACTTGAAGGAAACTATAAGATAGAAAAGAGGAAAAGAAGAGTAGGTCACATATTAGTAGAAATGTATGACAAGCATAAATATAGACTACACAGGTCAAATGATGATCATTTGGAATACATGCCGATTTACTACTTTTTGGTTATCTAACAATAATTAGTTACAATTAGCATGTATTACAAATCAGCAACCAATCAGTTTTTTTACTGAATGATATAAAATTATTCCTGAATAATATCAAATGCTTCGATCGAGTAATCCGATTTATTATTTTAGGTATTTCTTTATTATTACGGCAAATGTTATTCATTACATATGAAAATGTCTATTAATTAAAATAACTACTATGTAATTGATGGGGTTTCTTACTCTTACGGTAAAATTACTAGGGATAAATCTGCAATAAATATTATGAACTAGTATTATACATTCTCTACTATCTTTAGTGATCCTGTAAAAAGTTTTTCTCACAGTTCAACATTACAGTTGCGATCATCGTTAGTTTCAATTCAGAAATGAAATCTTGTTTGTTGTCTCTGAACTGGTAAATACTATTTAACAAAAACCAAATTATGGGTTTTTGCACCATCTGGAAGATTAATTTTATGTTTGAAATAATATTGGGCCTGTCTTGCAAATATATTCACAATATTATTATTTTGAACAAATTTTGCCAAAATATGTGAATTCTTTGTGTATCGGAATGCTAAAGTTGACCCAAAAATTTCAGCACCAATACAGATACGGCCAAATTAGTTTACATTAAGCAAAATAACAATTGGTCAAATTGATTCCCTATTTATTTCACTTCTAGCCAAATTAGCAACTGATACGAAATTTAGTTCATTTGCTTCATATGCATTGTTGTAATAATCTACAAGCATTTCGTAAACTTTTTCTAGTAGAGTTACATCCAATTAAGTGGAAGTGAGCATGACTCCAGAAAACGACTCTCTGCCTGTTATTGTATCATCAATGTTAAGATAATAAATATTCAAGAATCGAAGCAACTCATCAAATTCAAATTCATCGTAAGTCGCTAAACTCCCATAGTTGATCATGATTTGACCAAATTCAAATATTCTGCCAGTTTTGAATCATCTATCCGATTTGAAATCAAATTATCCAATCGCCAATTCTGCATTATTATACGTAATAATTCTAACTCAATATTACGACTACTATTAGGTAAAGACCCTAAAGCAAATGTTAACAATTTATTAATATTATAACTTTGTTTGGAAAAAAATCGGCGTATAGCTACTTACCTAATATTCCGTTCATTCTCTCGAACGAATAACACCAGAATAAGTGAAATGGACTATAATTCTGGTAGCATTCTGCAATATGAAGGGAGAGATGAATATTCAGTGTTATCACGACCGGACTATAATTCTCTTCTACCAAATGAGTGACCATCAGCAATCAGAAGTAGGCTTCATCTAATGCATTATTATCAATAATGCATGTTGTTAATAAAAAACAGGCTCAAACAAAATTTGCCAAAATTCTCCAATCATGTTCGTTCAAAAGATCTCACATAATCAGTATTACATAAATCATTATGAACATTTTCCACTGGTCAGCTGTATATTCTGAGAATCTCTCATTGATTGCTATTTTATAAGGTATTTTTCTCACGTCCACAGGTAATTTGATCTGTTTTACCTTCTTTTCCATTTCTTCAAGCTGAGATTTTATAATTTTACTACCGTCAATCCACAGCTTTTTTACTATTTATTGGGCTATACCGAGAAACAAACAACGCATTGGATCAACTATTAAATGCCTGATAGGATTATGGTAAGGCAAACATAACATTTTAGACCATCTAACCAAGGTAGATAAAACGTGTTGTCTTCTTTCTTTCTCCATTTTACAATGCAACCAAGACATTGCATTTTCTAGGTATTCTTCTAAATTTCTTTGTCTAAACTAATCGTCTATATCATCAAAGCCACCAAAATTAGATCTTTTCCCTTCATCACTACTAGTTATCTTAAACATCTGTGACAAGCTGCAACTGCTGATATGTGTTCACATAGTTTTCTGACAGCTGAAATATCATTTGAGTAGTAAATGACTGCTAACTGAATTCTCTTTCCATTAGAAAACTTAGTCAAAACTGGCAAGTCGTACCCATCCCATAATTTTAGTAATTCATTTATAATTAGAGCTAGAAAATGATTAATGCGATGCATTTTCAGTTCTTTGGGTCCCGGTAAAAGGCCAAGAATTAACATGTTTTCCTTTTTAAATCTTATATCACGCAGAAGGTTGCAAATTACTCCATAAATTACACTAGTGCTGTATATAAAAGATTCAAAAGGTTGAAATCAATCGAGATTAATTATGATTCCCAAATAAAAATCTGTGGTCTCTGGTGTAAAAAACTAGGAAGTTTGATCTTTGAGAGAAGAAGAAAATGTTTTTCAGATTCTTCCCTCATATACATTAGACATTAATTCATTTGCTATATTCTGATTTGTCTATTTTAGAAGTTGCTGCTCAAATCCCGAATGTTGATACATAGTAGCCATTAGTTTTTCAAGCTAGGTAGAGAAACACAAGCTTTGGACGCCAGATGTGTCCTTTTACAGTCAGAACTTTTTTCAATATTTCTGTTCTGCAAGCTTCACATTGATTTTGCATTAGATACGTTAGAAACTTAACATAATTATATTTAAATCTGTTTTGTCTATTATTTTCTATGTTATGTAATTTGTTGCAGTCAGAACACACTGCGAACACTTTCGTCTTCCTTTTGATTTCAAGCAATTTTCTTGTTATTTATGCTGAAGTAGGGAATTTTGTAAACCTCCTTAAATTAGTATCGAGTAAAACAATACGAAAAAATTTGATTAATGAATCAATTGCTACGTCAGAAAGACAAAATCTTTCTTAATATTTAAAATCCAAAGAAGAATCCACAGATCGTCAAAGTTAGCAGACGTATTGATATGTTCAGAATCTGAATTGGTATCAATATTATTTAAATTTAGAGCAGAAAAATAATCATAAGAAACCCGTCATCTTCATTCAAATAAAATTCTTTGTCATCAATCAGCTCTTCTTCTTCGAGTATTAGTCTTTTATCATCAGCCAATTAATAGATCTGTTCTTCTTCACTTGAAGAACTAGACAATTGATTGTATTCTTCATCCTGGTTTGTTTCAAAAATATCCGTATTATGAAACTGATCATGTCTTTTCTAGATCTTAGTTTCTCTGATTTCCAGTTTTTTCCTTATTACCATCATTATTAGATGAATCAGACGAAGATGAACTGAAGGTTGACAGAGCCTTTCTCTTAGAAAACGCTGATGATTTTACATTTTGAAGTGTTTTTAAAACTCAGATTTTTTCAAATTTATGTTTTTTAACAGGTCGATTTTGTCTGACAAGACAGTTTTTAAGCTGTTCTTCTAATTTAATATGCCTTTTTTTCATTCTTGGGTCAATCTCTTTACCATTACATTCCTTATAGTTACATTTAACCAGTTGTCTTGATGTTGCCGATTTTACCGGTTGATTTTTTTTTATTTGAGTTTGTTTATTAGAGCTTCTTACTGTATGTTTAGGTATTCTTAATATGACAATATCAATATCATTTAAAATAAATCAACATTTACAAGAAAAAAGAATTTTTATTAACGTATTTTAATTTAATTATAAATTTTTATTAAACTTTTCAAATCAGTATATTAAATAAACTATAGATTATAAAAGTAAAATTATCATAAAAAAAAATAAAAAAAAAGTAAAATTATCATCAATCAATTAATCAATCAAAATAAAAGTAAAATTAATTAAACCATTATTTCTGGATCTTTTCTATCTAAGATTTTTTTTATATAATAATACGTACTCAACTAAAACACATACTAAAAATTACTAAACTAACACATACCTAACTAACATCATACATCGTCATTCACGTTCAGAATGACATAATAGGTCACGAAGCAAAGACAGAAAGAGTCAGTCACGTCTTTATAAGAAAAACTCAAAATATAATCAGTAATATATTTTATTATTAGTAGTTGTTGATTTATTATATCCAAAGAAAATACGAATATTCTAAATATTCTATAAAAATTATATTATTACTTATATTATTACCAATATCGTCATAGTTTTTCATCTAAATCGTCAGATTCAGACATTGAAATTCTAAAGGAAGAAGTTCAGAGAGCAAAAGAAGTCCAAAAAAAAGAAGCTCAAATACTGAAAAATGTTCTAAGAAAAGAAGTTGAGAGAACGAAAGAGGTCTAAAGGGAAAAGGTTCAAAGAGTGAAAGAGATTCTAGGGGAAGAAGTTCTGAGATTAAGCAAAAAATAGGATGATATATTGGATGATCCCAAATTATGGGAAGATGAACCAATAGAAAAGGGAAAGAAAGATGAATCAGGTATTAATCGACATAATGATTAATTTATTTAATAATCGATAATGCATCTTTCTGATCTACATATACTTTTTTTTCCCTATTTATCTTCATTTTTTTTTTAATTCTAGAACAATATACTTTTGATTTACAAGTCGAATATTTAAAGAAAATGTTAGAAGCTGTTATTAAGGGGAAGATGCATGAAGTGGATCTGAAAGATATAATATTAATTGATCTGAAAAATATAACATTAGACAAGGAGGATGATATTATTATCACAAAAGTTTAGCCAGGTTGTAAAAGTCATTCTGAAAGCTACGGAGTGGCCAGTCTATCTAATCCATCTAGAATTAAATCATCTAATGTTTGTTCACATTCTACTAGTTATAGCTCCGATGAGGTAATTATTCTTAGCTCAAATAGTTCAGATGTTCCAATAAAAAAACATATACACTAAAAGGAATAAGAAACGTAACCATATGCAAAAAGGCATACAAAAACGCAAAAAAAAAGGTATCATCATTCTAAGTCAATAAGTAGCATAAGTTCAGGAAGTTCTGATCCACTAAGTCATCGAAAAACATCGAGATATTTATATACTTCGGATATAGATAAGGAGCTCCTGACGGTATTAAGGGTAACAAATGTTATTTTCCATATATCTATTCACATTCTTAGTAACTGGTATAAATTTAAATTGTTTAGAGAAAAGTATTTAGGATTATTAAAGTAATGCTGGAAGATTGCTGATTGAATGTGAAAAAAACATTCAAATCATAGCGTAACTTAGTGAACGGGACAATCATTTCAACCGTTCAAGCAAGTATTGACCAAAGTACGTTCCCAGTCGAAGATAATGTTTATACAAAATAATACACAAATGTTACCGATATCAAAGAGAATCGTACCTTTTACAACAAAAAACTGACGAAGAACAAGACCAACAATCAAGACGTTATCACAAAAATGCACGTGTCAGAGAAGTAAGTAATCAACTGATAGTTTAATTATATTTATTTCGTTACTAATTATTATTTTATACGATTGCAGAAAAGGTTGTGTTGAGTTAAAGTAATCGAATGGCTACAAAAAGAGAGGATCTGTCGATCAAAAAGTTCGCAAAATTAGAACTTACTTCTATCATGAATGATAACAAATATCATTTACATGAAGATAGCGAAACTGATCCAGATTATCTGAATAGTGAGAGAATAATTCAAATCAAAGACCTTAGTTGGCGTTTATTAATAGTAAGTTTATTATTATTATTTTTATTGTTTAGTTTATATCAATCGATATTTACTAATCATTTTTAGGCTCGTAAATTCTTATGAGATTATGTTGATAGAATATTTGAAGAAATGTCAAAAGCTACCAGGTCACAAAAATGAATTCATGATAATACATCTAATACAACTGAAGAAATTCCGTTCAGGGCTCCTGTATGGACTATTGTCAGATATAATGGATACTTGAAATAATGCATTGATGAATCCTGCAGCAAATGGTATTCTAACATACAATCATCTCGCTCAACCACTTCTGTACAGCCATCAAATCAGACCACTTTTGTACAATTATTTAGTGATCCACCCATGCCCCGAAATGAATCAGGCGAAGCAACTTCAAGATACCCTTCTGACAATGAATAAGTAATGTATGAGTTGATTGTTATATCTATATTTTTTTCAGTTTTAACTTTTTCAATCATTTAATTATTTACTCCCTGTATTAGTACTTTTCAACTCCTCATATTTTCTTTCTTTATTGATATCCATCTTTTCTGTGATGCAGTCTCTATTCATCCTTTTTCTATAGTTTCTATTGTTATAATGAATGTAAACGATATATAATTATATATGTAATATAGTAATACAAATCATATAATAAATTTATTGAGTAATTGCTTTTTAATATTATTCAATAACAAATCATTTATAAATAGTATATACCAATGATTGTTAACAACAGAAAAAAAAAAGTAATCATTCAGTATACTGAATTATATACTGAATAATGTCAAAATTATCTCATATTGAATGACTTCTTAATGGATCCCAATTATGGGTCATCATTTGGCATTATTCAATATATACCAAATGATCACTAATAAAAAAAATCAGGAATTAATAGAATATCATTCAGATATCCTATCAATCTCTGAATTGACATTATTTAATTTGTGCTAGACGAAGCGTACAACATTCCTTTCCATTAATATTAGTAACCATTAATTATTACGAACGTGATAAAAAAATTTAAATTCATGACTTTTCTGATGCAATTGTATGACTATTCCTTGAAACAACTGCCGAATATGAACTATTTCCTCTAGAAGTCATTCCTCTCTTTTTGAAGATAGAGTTATCTGTTGTTGAAGATCGTTAAAATGTTACCAAAGACTATTATAAAGGAATTCCAAATCTATAAACTCTTCATTCTTATTATCTAAACGAGAAGAAAGAGTCATCAGTTCATTAATTAATCTAGTAATTTCTTGTTGTTATTGATGAGTTTCTATTTTTAAATTGTTGATATGTTCCCTAGAAAGAGCAGACTGACGAGTGATAAAAAAGCATTTTTTCTGTTATTTGCCTATTTTAAAAATAAATGTAGAAAATATAAAAGTCAAAATAAAAGAAGAAATTTAAAATTTTGCAATAATTTTAGGAAGAAAATGAAAAATTTGTGGAAAATAGAAAGAATTCTTGGACAAATATTTATACTCAAAAGAAGTAGCTATGAAAAATTTTCAAGACTGTAAGAATTATTTTCTTGTAGAAAAATAAACAAAAATCCATTGGATTGCATTAGATGATGATCATTACATAGAAATCTATGAAACAAAAACCTGTTTAAAATTGGCGTAGTTAATCAACATTACTAAATTAGATGATCACGCAATATTTACATAGCATATTTTTGATCAACATTTCTTTATTTAGTATAAAATTCAGAAAATTTTCATAAGCTGCATAATTTTAAGAGTTCGGCAAAATGCATGCATGAGAACTAAGGAATAAAAAATGTTAATTTTCCTGAAAAAGAAACTACTTGTAATATTGGGTGCCGTCCAAAATCTCGAAATCCAAAATATCGAAAGGTTAAAATCTCAAAATCCAAAATCCCGAATGGTACAAAATCTCGAAGTCTAAATTATCAAATGATATAAAATCCCGAATTTTCCTTTAAATGCATACATACTACAGCATATAAGTGTATATATCATGATTTGTTAA